TTCGAACTTCATGTGGTGGCTTACCTACATGTACATGTAATATCACGTTTTTATTGCATTCACCAAACGAGTTACTCTATAGTTCAGGTATCATAGGTTTGTCCAGTTACCAGTGCTGTACATGGTGTGACATGTATCATTGTTTCCAGTAATACATGTAGAGTTAATATTTCCTCTTGTACCTTATGATAGCATACAGTGTGTTACCAGAGCTAGTGTTACTGTATATCAGGCAGAGCTTCATGTAGTTCTTTTCATTCTCATTCCTTGTGGAATGAATATTCTCCAAATGAAAATAAGTCATTCCTCAATGTTACGTGTACAAAATGACAGCTCAGAACTTAAGTTAAACAAAAACTAATCTAAAATGAAATAAAGAATGGTCCCAATGAAGTATCCCAGTGTAGAGTATTGTGTGTGGTAATAATAATTCATTGATATTATAATGATATTCATATATTCCTTAGAGGGAAGGGTGGAGTCACTGAACAGTGTTCATGATTTCAATTACTGTATAGCAGGAAATTGTCTTTGAGTGATAATTTTTGTTTGTTTCGTTGGCCAAAATTTTGAAAGAAAATTTTAGACCATGAAAATTTAATCTAACTAATTAAAATTTTGACCCACAACAGATCCTCTTTTCACTATAAGCTATGGCTTAGCAATCTGTGGCATTATCAGCCTCAACACATCAACTTCAAGGCAGTTCTTCCCCAACTGATGGGCTCCGAATGCCTTATAATTTCAGTAACCACAAACCATGGACTCCCTGACTAATTCTTCATCTTAAACCATGCACGTGGCATAAATTAAGTGGGCGTGGCAGTGAATAATTTATGATAGATTAACAAGGTAAAACAAAAATAAAATCAATAAAAATATCTTCTAAAGCCAGCTTGGAAAGGCAACGAAAGTATTTGGCAGCAAAAATTTCCTGCTATACGGTATCAACCAACTCCATGTTCATGTACATGTACCTTAAGACATTACAATATACTATAGACTGGGGTTTATAGGTCTTGTGAAGTTTATCATTGAATGGTTTAATTTTATTATTATCACTCCAGTAAAACAAGTTTATTTTTTTTTGGTAAATGTTTTCCTAACTTTTGTGTTTTTGCTCTGTTGCTAAATTAAAATTTACAAAATTTGCATTTTTCTTGCCACATGGTGCATTTTGCATACTATTTACAAATTTTTTCCATCATATTTTTACATTTTTGGTGAATTTTAATTTTAAATAAAATAGTAAAAAGTTTAGCCAACATTGAATAACCTCATGTGTACCGTTAAGATTAGAGATGTCCCGATAATCGGATTGGCATATCGGATATCGGCTTATTGGCCTGTTTTTCATAGTATCGGTTATCGGTTTCTTTGCATGCATCTTGCAGATATAGCAACACATGGTGATATGCATGAGAATAAAGGGTTAATTAATTAATTTTAATACAATTATGTGATACAATAAATGTCAAAATGATTCTATAACTAGAAATACTTGATAATTAGTCAAGATACTAAATTGGGAAGTGTATAAATCACATTTTACATGCATAAACCTGTGCCTAGAAGGTAGAAAGGAAAATATCAGATCAGTATCGGTATCGGCCAGTAATGGCTATGTCAATATTGGCATATCGGAATATCGGCTAAAACCCATATCGGTACATCTCTAGTTAAGATACACCATATATTTTGTGGGTATAAAATTTTGTAACTTTGGGTGCATTTTGACGTATTTTGATTTGGCAAATGTATACGTATTTGGCGTATACGGTTTTATGAAGATTTTTGGGCCAGGATTAATTATACTAAGCATAATTTCATTTTCTGGAATTTAATTATTTACAAATTGTGTTAGATGATGCATGAAATCCACTAAATTAGGAATACCAGTAAACATTAGTCCAGTGTATTGTAGATAGTATAATGTGTTATCATAACAATGTCAGTAATGGGACCCTCATCTAGTAGTGTAGTAGTTTGTATCTCTTCTACTGGGTATTTATGTAATATTGTCACTAGGTGTTCCTCCTCCTACTACCCTAGTCCTAGTCCTACTTATGTGTCCAGTCATAGATACTCAATGATTCAATGTATACTAATACACCAGACACACTCTTTGTAGTGGGAGGGACACTCTCTTTCCTTATAAGGATATACATGTACATGTACTGTATTGCAGGATTTATTGGTGAGGGATTAAATTTGTCAAGTCCTTAAATTACAAGAATACTCCAAATTGAAACTCACAAATTATTGTCAATTATTAGCTGCCACGTGTTAGGAGTTAATAAATTTAATTGGCCAACCAATCAATTTAAACAATTTCTCCAATACTTCTCACCGTCAATAAATACTCTCATATGTTATACAAGTACATGTAAATGAATGGCTCAGTTGTTTGTGTATTTTTCCATTAAAAGTTGTTTTTATATGTACATGTATTGTTTATGTGTTGTTTATGGTTGGTTATTGTCACTGGTTACATATTCTGTGAATTTTGTTTTTGAATGAGATTATGTGATAATGAGACATAGGAGTGATTAATATTACTATTATAATAACTGTTAATAATACACTCATTCACTTGTTAATACTGTAGGACCTACAGTTGTATATTGCTGCTCGAGATGGAGATATAGAAGGAATGAAAACTGCCCTCTCTAATGGGGCAGATATCAACTGGAGTGGTCTAGTAAGTGTATGATGTAGTGACTAGTGTATTAGTATGACTTGTATAATGTAAAAGTACCTGCAGTTTAGTTATAAATCAGTTTATTATATTAATATTGTGTAATTACCGTATTTCCTAATGGAAGCACCTAGGCATTTATTCTTATAGAGACCCGTTTGCTGGGTGTTTAAATGAAGTAGGTGTTTATATGAGGATAGACATTTAAATTCATTGCCGAGGAGTCTTCTTCTATGAGCTTCCTTCTCAGCTACAACTGCTATATTGCCTGTAGTGTGTGCCAGTAACCACGTGGGCAAAGTGGGTGTGGCATATGCATCTAAACAAGCATGGGCATTTATTGTCAATGTTTTATGCTGTCTCTAGGCATTTATACAGGTACGGGCATTTATTGGGAGTAGGTGTTTCCATGAGGAAATACGGTATGTTCCTCAAACACAGTATCCTATTGATGACACTCATAGTCCCTTCTTTCTGGTGGTGTGTGTTGATTGAAGGATCAGTCCTTATTATCTTTATTGCATTTTATGAGGAAACAATGTATTCATTTCTATTGTGAAGGGTGGCACACAACATAACAATGTTGGTATAAAATACATTGTAGTTATATACCATACATTATAACTAATTATTCAGTCATTGAATTATTATGCTTGCATTATTAGTTACTGGTTGAAAATACTGTGATTTTATAAGAGCTGTATAATAATGATGTAATAAATTGATTTTATTTATCATTTTGTATGTACTTTATTTGTTGTGTTTATTTCTTATAGTATAACTGGACTCCATTACATATAGCAGCTGCCAGTAACATGAGTGAGTCTATCCAGTGGTTACTCAGTAAAGAGGCTACTGTTGACTCAAGAGATGATGTGAGTTGTATATTGAATGA